TGGTCCTTTCTTGCCACTTCCTTCCAACCAAGGGCCAAAAGTGACATAATTCAAATCCGAGGGATGAATATGAAGCTACTTGAAAAATGGGATGTTACACTAGATCTAGGGTTTGTAAGCCTTGGATAGTTTGCATGTACAATAGAGAAACCTAGATCCAAGGTTTTAGGGTTTTTCATGTGCACCATAGGATTGATGATTTGCTCAAAACCCATCAGAAGCCTCCATGCAAGCTCTAAGGTGTTGTTATGACCTTTTGAGTCCCAAAAGGCCATGCATGGAAGGAAATTCTGAGGCTTTACATGTTCTTTTGGTGTCTAGGACCTAGATCTGGGTTTTCATGTTTTGGTTCGGAGTGATAAGGCTTTTAGACAAAGATCTATGTCCTAAAGAACTAGGGTTTTTAACAATACCCATTTAGAAGGATTAATAACGGGTAAAGTTGGAAACTTTACCCTTAAAAAGGTATTTCCAGTATGTAGATAAAGTATGGAGTTTGGATATGAAGAGTAGGGGCTTAATCCTTTAAGATGACCCAAACATACTAAGGGGCTGTTTGGTAGGATCTTAATTTTTAAGATCTGAATTTTTAAGAGGTCTGAATTTCTAAGAGGGTCTGAATTTTTAAGATCTGAAATTTTAACATGCTGTTTGGTTTGAACCTCTGAATTTTTGTGCTGAATGATAAAAATGACAATTTTACCCTTTTGTATCATTTCTTTCAATTACAACATCATATATTTGAAAAAAAATCCATGGAAGTAGGATGCTAAACATTACACCCAATATTACAAAAAAATCCAATGAAAACTAAACAACCTAATATTTCATTATAATTACTAGCAAATAGTTTGGAACCAGAAATGTAAAAATATATATATATCATATTATAATCATGTACAAGTAGTCCTTACAAAAAAAAAGCAATCTTTATTACAAAAAGTTCTTTCATTCATTCTCACATCTCAAGCATTACAATCAATGAAAATCTAAAATGACATCCAAGGATGATGACCGCTTGACCAACATACCCCTGCATCAAACATTCTTTCATTCATTCTCACATCTTTCTTTCATCTTAAGGAGGTTATACCAGGAAATAGTAAACATTAAATATATGTAACAATGCAAGAACCTGATAAGGATAATTGCTTCAAAGAAACCTTGCAAGCCAACAGCCAAAGCCAGTTCATTTTTATCAATATCTCCTCGTATATCTGGTGTTTAGAAGGCACATACTTGATTTTAGGAAGTCAGGTAGATTTATAATTGCATCTAACAGAATTTTGATGAAATTACACCATGTATTGTTAGGTTTCAAACTTTCAATTACCATAATAATTCTGATACTTGTATTAAACTCTGAAAATTCAATATAGGAAAGTTCATTGTTGGTTATGAACCTGTATGGCATGAAAAGGAGTATTACATTGGCTGTGCCTGTGAAGAGATGTATGCCCTTCCAAGCATATTTTGTTTATAGTTCATCGTAATAATGGAATCAAATCTCCTCTACTTATAACATAAACCAAAAAGGAGAAAGAAATCCATGTTGATTTACTGTCTTTGAAAGCATCTTGGCAAGAATTGTGAAATGATGAAAAGTGAAAAATCAATGGAAATGATAAAGAGATACAAAAATCACACAGACAAATATATAGATACATAAATCAACTCCAGTTAGGACCTAAAGTTGTGGTCATTAGAACGATGCTCTAATACTTGAGTTTCAGGGGAAACAACTCTGATACTTGATTTTCAATCATTAAACTCGAATTACAGAGCAAGAGAAAACTAAAACTTTACCTGAAGAAGATGTCGAGGGTGAAGCAGCACGACCCGGAGGCGAAGGCGACATAAGCGACACAGTCGGAGGAGGCAGCGAATCCGACGACGGCGGCGGCGTTACAGATCTAACGGAGCCAAACGGATGATGTCGGAGGGTTGTAGTTGTGTGATTTGAGATGCAGGAGAAGGAGGGGTCGGCGGTTGTGAAAGAAAGAGAAGAGTGAAAGGGGTGACGTACCAGGGCAAAAAAGGAATGCACGTTCATTTTTCTAATTCATACGCATCCCAAGATCTGAAAATTTAAGAGGTATTTTAAAAATTAAGAGCCATAAATTCAGATGTTACCAAACAGTCTGGATCTTAAAAACTAAGAGACTGCCTCTTAATTTTCCAATTAAGAGGCTACCAAAAAAGGCCTAAGGAACTCGACGAGTCCAGAGAGGGACTCGACGAGTTGATGGCGTTCTGTCCTGATTTTTGTACAAGGTAGAACTCAGTTTATTTGTATCACATGTAGGCATGAGCAAACAGGCCGAACCGACTGGAACCGGACCGACCCGGACTCGACCCAGGAATCGGTTTCGGCCAAAATCAAGAACCGAACCGGCCCGACGGTTCTACCGGTTCCGGTTCCGGGTCCGGTTTTTGCTGGGTTTTCGATTTTGGAACCGGTCTGATTTGACACGCTTCCTTGCGGGGCTTGTAACTCATTAAATTTTTAACCAAATCAAGCGTTTTTATAATTTAAACTTAACTACAAAACCTAAACTACGTGTAGGAAAAAGATTCAGGTCAAAAAAACTTAAATTAAGTGAGTTATGCACATTTGAACAACAAAGTCAGATTACGTTTAATTGCTGTAACATAAAAAATTCTGATTTGACACCCTTTCTTGCGGGGCTTGTAACTCATTTAATTTTTAACCAAATCAAGCGTTTTTATAGTCTAAACTTAACTACAAATCCTAATCTACATGTAGGAAAAAGATTCAGGTCAAAACAAGTTAAATTGAGTGAGTTATGCACATTTGAACAACAAAGTTAGATTACATTTAATTGCTGAAACATAAAAAAAATTCTGATTTGACACCCTTCCTTGCGGGGCTTGTAACTCATTCAATTTTTAACCAAATCAAGCGTTTTTATAGTCTAAACTTAACTACAAATCATAATTTACATGTAGAAAAAGATTCAGGTCAAAAAAGTTAAATTGAGTGAGTTATGCAACTTTCAAAATTTGAGTGAGTTATCCGGTCCGGTTCCCGGTTTTGGTCCGGTTCCAACGACCGGTTCTTACCGGGTCCCGGTTCCAAAAATTGACGAAATTATAGTATCGGTCCCGGCCCGATTGGTTCCATCGGGTTCCTGTTCCGATACCGGTTCCGGTTCCGGGACCGGTTCCGACCGGTTCCCCGGTCCATATGCTCATCCCTAATCACAGGTGTCGATACGAAGCTACATTACATCGAGAGATTAAAGGAGGTGTAAATCAATAATGTAAATGAATGTAATGTCTGTTTATGCTTATGTTTCTGTATTGACGATGACATCCCAAAGTTTTAATATAAACTAAATACATTTCTTCGGAAATGCTTTGATAATGTATTTATCATGTTTTCTGGGAACAAATTCCGCAAATATTATTCTTTAAAAATGATACTATAATTTCCAAATAAGCATAAATAACATTTTTAAAATGACCGTGAATTTGGGGATGTCACACTTTCGTATCTACAAACTTATCCAGTTCAACAACCATTGCATGAATCTCAAATAGTCAAATAATCTGTAATACCATTGCCTAAGATAATAACATAGCTTTCTAAACTGTACCATTTCCTTATAGTTTAACCTGCTTTGTACTGTTTTCTAAATTCCACAATCTCTTTGGTCATTGAGTCGACAATTACCCCCGTCCCCAAAAAAAGCAGTTACTCACCACAACATGGCATGTAACAACCATGAACATACATACCATGACAAATTTATAGAAAACTCGAAAGTTTAAACTTCATTCTTTCAGCCAAACTATTGGATGTTTATTTAGAAAATTTGCATTACCATTGTTAGTCCACAAAGTACAACGAATACAGTCCATACTAGACAACAAACAACCATTAACATTATCACACGTATTAAGATTTATCATGAAAAACTTACATATAATAGTCCAACTAATCGTGTCTTACCCAAGATCTTGCAATTCAAACGCCGCCCTCTTAGTAGACCGACTATCCTTCACACTTAACATCAAATTGGTATACACTGTTACTATACCAATCACATCTACAAAATGATACACAAACTATATCAGAAATACCAAGACATACAAAAAAAAGAATAAGAGCAATTATGTCTTTGATAGCAATGTCTACATACCAATTGCATAGTCTTCCCCAAATTTGACCTAAAATAATGTCTCCAAACTTGAAATAATCAAAATAACTCAAACCACGAGGAAGCCAAATGTCATGGCCTTAACATACATGTTTTTGTGAAAAATTTATTTTAAATTTATGATCTGCAATTTCCAAACGGGCAAAGTTATCACTGACAAAGAAATTCGAAAAACCATACACATTTTCCTCCTCCAATAATATCTCAAACTTGCAAATTCGAGCATTCTTGATGGTGACAGAGACATGGTTTCCCTGAAATTATCATACAAACAAACCAAGAATAAAAACTACACCAATACAAACAAAATGAGAAAACCCAACTATGATAGATTGTTATCGTCTATTAAAACCATATCAATACTTGCTCAGCTTAGGCGACTTCAAGTAAACATGCTTCTTCTATAAATGAACATCCATTCTTGAACTTCCATCCATCAACATCAATACTGATCTCATTAATAAAATAATACCGTGAACCCATCTCAGACACTATCACAGTTCCAACAATTATATATATACAACAACAATTATATTTACAAACAATACAACATATGTTTCATTTATACATACAACAAACAACAACTAGCATACTAAATTAATAAGCAAACACCTGAACCGTCCAACTGGTTAATTATCAAATGATCATTTATAAAAAAAGAGCTTTTCAATTTTTTTTTTGAAGAGAAGATCTATAGAGATATGGTGTTCTAAAAGAATTTGTTAGCGATTTCAATTTTATTAAATGAAATTTCATTTTATCTTCACTCCGTTTGCCCTTAACCCCATTCCTATATATCCCCCGCATTCGTGTCTATCTCGCTTACACCTTCCTTTACGCAGTCAAAAAACCCTTCTTCTCTTTGGCGTCTCCGAGCTCTCAATCTCTCTCAGATCATCAATGGCCGGCAAGACCGACTTCGATTCTTCTCTTCCTAACTCTCGGATCTCCAGAGGTGAATCAATTAACCACACACTTCTACTTCTTCCGCTAATTTAACTTTATCACTTTATAATTTCCTCGACTTTCTTAAAACCCTATTTTTCTTGTAGAGATTTGTCGGTTTTCTTTCTTGGGTGAATGTATTAATCATGAAGGCACTGGTTTTTCTTTTCTACGACTGCTTCCTTTACCGCTGAATCTTTCAGATACGCGTCATAACAAATGTGGCCGAAATATATTCGCCTTCGCGTCTTCTTCTTTCGTTTCTTAGGTTATGTATTTAGTCGAGAACGAAGCGTTTACGGAGTTTGTTCTATTTGCGATTTGCGCCTACTGTGGCAGTTTTAGGGTTTTGAAACACAAAATGGATTAATTTGCGCTGAAGTTAATTCATTTGTTACGAGTCCATTCCGAGACTGACAGAAGAAAGTGCTTTAGTTATCATATAATATCATCCTTTTGATTCCAGGAGTGAGGTTTCGATTTCGTATGCTATCATTTTTACATTTTTCCTTCAGTTTCGGCGCTTAATTTACGAGTGTTGCCCTACTCCTTGTTTAGAAAAAGGGCCTATGTGGCATCATCCGGCATTATATGCACTTGTGATTCTTTATGCTCGAGTGTTATTGATGAGCTTTATTTGTTGGCCCACGCCCATATTGGCGTTGAGATCTTGATTTCGTTAGTGGGGTTGATAAAATTGACGTTTATTAAAAAGAATAAACATTTTAAAACGTGCTTCTGCTGTTGCTTGTTCATTTCGTGTCTTCTTGGATTGTCCATATTCAGAGTCTCTTTAGTGCATGCATGTACTCTGGTAAATTGAAGATTGCAAATCATGTTCTACATGGTCAAGCAGTTTACACATAAAGTTTTTTGAAGTTCACATGGCATGTGTGTTTCAATGCTGGTCATCTTTGTTTTTTAGTGACACAATTGCTCAAATTATCCTTTTTTTGAAGAATAGAAACCCTTTTCTCATTTCACTTAGACTTTTATTATGACTATGTCTCACCTAACCCAAGAAATTTGCTTACATTAGAGCTAATTATTGATTGGCTATTGATTCTGCAGATGTCCAAGGGTCTGACAGTTCTATTCCACTTTCACCACAGTGGCTCCTGTCCAAACCTGGGGAGAACAAGATGGGAACTCCAACCTCGGTGTGTGGCATTCTACTTTCTTTAAAAAAAGCTTCTTTCTTTCTTTTTTCCCTTCTGATTCTTCCCTATAGAGAATAATCTATAAACTCATCTATTATGTTTTTAACACAGGAGGTCCCCACCAGTCCTTTTCCACCATTTGCCAACCGATTGGATTTCATGAAATCACCTGGAACTGATGATTCCCAGAAGAAAAAAGATGTGTTTAGGCCTTCTGTTCTTGAAAGCCGTGAACGCTGGCGTGATGAGGAAAGGGACACAAATTCTTTTGTCCGCAAGGATAACAGGTGGCGGGAGGGGGAAAAAGAGCTTGGGGACACCCGCAAGGTGGCAGACAGGTGGACATCAGATAACAACATAACACCAGGAAAACAACACTATGGAGAATCCAGACGTGCACCTTCTGAGAAATGGGGTGATACTGGGAACAAAGATGCACGTGAGAGCAAATGGAACACCCGATGGGGCCCTGATGACAAGGATGCTGATGTCACACGTGACAAGTGGACAGAATCTGGAAAAGATCATGATGTCCAGGTGTCCCATGAGGGTGACCACCCTCGACCATGGAGACCTAGAGGAAGAGCAGAGCCGCCACATCAGCAAACTCCAGGGGTAAACAAACAGACTCCTATGTTTGTTCATGGTCGGGGTCGTGGGGAGAATCCTAATTCCACATTTTCTATTGGCCGAGGAAGGGGTGGGACCCACCCTATGAATAATAGTTCCAGTTCCACTCATTTGCAGCCTTTAGGATCTTTTCCTGACATGGGTGGTGATAATACATCTCCTATGAGGTATAGCAGGTCAAAGCTGCTTGATGTGTACAAGATAACTAATATGAAAGGTGGTGAAAGGATGTTGGATGTGCCTTCACTTACACAGGAGGAACCATTGGAGCCTCTTGCACTTATTTCACCTACCCCTGAAGAATTGGTAACTTTTAACAATCATCATTTATCACTCTCTGTTATGTTAAAACTTCATATAGGACTAGAAAGTTAATATGTTTTTTCATGGCAGTTTACAATGAAGGGGATTGACAAAGGGGACATTTTAAGTAGTGGTGCTCCTCAAATTACTAAAGATGGATCATCTGGGGTTAACATGGTTGATACACAGTCAAGAAGAACCAAACTTGGTACTTTGAACATTTCTTTTATAAAAAATTGTGAATTTAATAGTCAAGCAAATTACTATTACTGAGTTTGTTGAATGTGGTTTTTTTGAGCAGGGAGTAGAGAAGATCTACCACTTGCTTCTGACAATTATTCAGATTATGTGGAGGGCTTATCTCATGAGAAGCAAGGGCACTCATATGAGACCAATTTCAAACCTAATCTCATGGAAGATCGCCAGTCTTTTATAGATTACAAATCCAAAAATGAAGGTATATATACATCATCTACAATTTCTTCAAAAAAATTAATTGTGGGTGTTTATGTTTTTATATCAAGAATCATTTTGTTATCTGCAGCAATAGGAACCTCAGCTAACTCAGGGGCAAATTGGAGATCTTTATCCATGGGGCAACGTGCACAACCGAATACTACCAATGAATGGAGTAGCAGTTTAACAAATGTCACAAATGTTTCAAATGTTACAAATGTTACAAATCCAGTTATCAAAAGGCAACAATCTGGAAACACTATGGATAGGGAGCATGAAGCAAGGATACTTTCACAATCACAGCCATCACCTGATGATTTGGTTCTTTTTTATAAAGATCCACAAGGTTCAATTCAAGGTCCTTTTACTGGAATTGATATTATTGGATGGTTTGAGGCTGGATATTTTGGGATTGATTTGCAAGTTCGTCTTGCAAATGCACCAAATGACTCACCTTTTGCTTTACTTGGTGATGTTATGCCTCACCTTCGTGCAAAAGTCAGACCTCCACCTGGATTTACTGCTGCTAAAAGTGAAATCAATGATGAATCCAGTATCCCTAATCCTAATGCTATGATGAAGAATGATCCAAGGTTTCAACATGGGTCAACCACAGAAGCTGAGAATAGGTTCATTGAGTCTCTCATGTCTGGTAGTGGTGGCTCATTGGAGAAGTTTGGGCTTTCTGAAGGTATGCAGGGGTATTTTGGGAACCCTGGTTCGATTCCAGCTATGGAAATTGCAAAATTGATGCAACTTGAAAGGCAAAAATCTATGTCTAGTCCTTACTCTCTTTGGTCTGGGCCTCCTAAATCTGACATTCTTCAAGATCCTTCAGTTTTACCTCAAAATCCTCCAAATCCAGAGTTCATGTCTATTCTTCAAGGCTTATCTGAAAGGTCAAACTCTGCTGCAAACAGTGGGGTGAGTAACTGGTCAAACTTTCCTGTTCAAACCGGGTTGGACCCACTTCAGGGTAAACATTTCCCTCTTCAAACACCATTCGGGGCCCACCAGAGGCTGCAAGGACAGAATCTACCCTCGCTGGGTCCACTAACACCTGAAAAACTTCTAGCTTCTGGCCTTCCTCATGATCAAATCTTAAGCTTATTACAACAACAACACATGTCACAGATAAAACCTCAAATCCCTACACCACAGTTGTCTGTATTGGATGAGTACCTGTTACTTAAACAACAACAACAGAAACAGGAACAGCTTCAGCAACAACAACAGCAGATTATGAGACAACAGCTGCTGTCCCAAGTCCTCATAGAGCAACAATCTCTGCAACGTTTTGGTGAGCAACAACAGCAGTCTGTTGGATTTGCTCCTCCACATGAGGTGTTACAGATGGGATCACAGAATCAAGGGCTTAATACTAACACTCCTCATATGGCTCAATTTGTTCCCACCCCAGGTCTTGAAGATTCTATTCATTTTGCCACATCAGTTTATTGACAACAGAGTGGAACAAAAGGGTGGTGGAGATGAGATTGTTCACCAGAAGGAACCTGATGTACAGGAACATGAGCAGCAGCCATTGATGATTGATTCAAGAACAGATGAAAATGTTGCTTTTATTTCTGACCCTCTGGTTGCTGTCAAGAATGAAGTTTTAGAGACTGAATTTGTTGAAAACGTGGAGGTGATGCCAGCTGTCACGGAGGCACCAAAGGTTCAGAAACCATCTACTAATGAGTCCAGTGTTGTGAAAGAAGTAAAGCCTGTTGAAACTGTGAAAAAAGCTACTGAAAAGAAGTCAAAGAAACAGAAGTCTTCAAAGTCACAATCGTCTGACATGGCTAAAACAGTATCTAAACCCCAACAGCAGCAGCAGCAGCCAAAGGAACCTGAAACTGATTTGACCAAAGTCAACGATGTCGAAATGGAAACATCTCAAGTAGAAGAGACCAAATCTAGAGTAGCCATGGAAGAGCCTGTAACTATGTCTAGTAATGTCAACCAAATCCCACAAGATAACAACACACAAGAAGTTCATATTCAACGTGCATGGAAGCCTGCTCCTGGTTTTAAACCAAAGTCACTGTTAGAAATTCAACAAGAAGAACAACGCCGGGCCCAGGCCCAGGCCCAAGCTCAGGCCCAAGCTCAAGCAGAGATGGCTGTTTCTGATATGTCAACATCTTTAGGGTCGATGAACATATCCAGCCCTTGGTCTGGTTTTGTTGCCAATTCAGACCACAAACTTACAGAAAACAAGAAAGATTGGGCCACTTCTGAGGCTTCCCAAAATCAAAACAACAAGAGCCAGTTGCATGATCTTTTAACTGAAGCAAAAACTAGTGAGAAAAACTCTGCATCAGTTACAGCTCCTACTCAGTCTGATTCGATGGAAGAAGGTAGCTTCATTGAGGCGAAAGAATCCAAAAAGAGTCGCAAAAAGTCTGCAAAAGCCAAAGCAGCTGCAGTATCCAAAGTGTCTGTGTCTCCTGTTGCTGACATCAGCACCATTTCAAGCCCAAATGAGAAAGTGAAAAGTTCACGTCAAGAGAAGGAGGTACTGCCAGCTGTCCCTTCAGGTCCTTCATTTGGAGATTTTGTTGTCTGGAAAGGGGAGACTGCAACTCCTACACCTGCTCCAGCTTGGTCTACTGATTCAGGAAAGATTGCAAGGCATACTTCCTTAAGAGACATTCTTAAAGAGCAAGAGAAAAAAGGTGGTGGTTCTTCTGTTCAACAACAACAACATCAAGTACATGTCCCAATGCAGAAGCCTGTGTCATCATCTGCTCAAACTAAAAATGGCCCTTCATGGTCATCATCTGCTTCATCTCCTGTCCAGATTATGTCACATAGTGGGACTCAATCAAAGAACAAAGTTGATGATGATCTGTTTTGGGGTCCTTTGGATCACCCGAAACAAGAAGCAAAAAAGTATGGTTTCTTTTATTGTATATGTTGTGATTTATGGAAGTGTGTTTGATGGTTTTGGTTTGTGTTTGTGTTTGTGTTTGTGATACAGGGCTGATTTTCCTCAACTTGCAAATCAAGGGAGTTGGGCTAAGAACACTCCTGGAAAAGGACCTTCTGGTGGGGCTATGAGTCGACAGAAGTCTGGAGGTGGAAGACCTGTTGAAGCTTCTCTTTCCTCCTCTCCTTCATTGAAGGGGAAAAGAGATGTTATGGCTAAACATTCAGGTAAACTGACTTCACTTGATGTAATGCTGCTAGTTAAAGGAATAGCAATTTACTTTTGTTGACTTGTTTTGAAAAATCTATCAATGTCATGTAAATGCATAGCCATTTCAAGAGCTATATTTGGGTAGATTTCTCACAGTATAATGTCCTACTAAGAAAAAAGTTTAAAGTCTTTTTTCTAAAGTATATATCATGCTACTTTCAGTTCTCCTTTCTATATATAGCCATCCAAATACAAAGCAATTTTCAAAGCTATAATTGTGTATTTTTGAAGTTTAATTGAGAGTGCGATGCTTTAATTGGCTTATTTTTTCAAAAATAATAGGCCGTATTATGATAAAAATGTAATTAGAACTTAAAATGAATGGAAATAAGATGCTATAATACACAAGTAAGTGAAAGTACTTGCATGACGAGCTTGGATGTAATTCTTTACTTGTGTTTTTTGCAGAGGCAATGGACTTCAGAGATTGGTGCAAAAATGAATGTGTCAGGCTTCTTGGATCCAAAGGTATTGCAAAATCTGAATATGAACCTTTACTGTTTTTATTGCTGTACCCATTGCTTAATGATTAAAGAAAATTAGATTTTTTAGTGTTTAAAAGTAAAAATTTGAGTCTGAGGTTTCTGTGAAATATATAATTCAAACGAGTTCCTTTATTTATTTTCTCTGGAGTTTTGTTTTTGCATATATATCTCTTATTTATTTTTGTTGGCATTTGTCAGATACAAGTTTTCTGGAGTTTTGTCTGAAGCAATCGAGATCAGAAGCAGAGATACTTCTGAAAGAGAATCTCGGGTCATATGATCCAGACCATGCATTCATCGAAAAGTTCCTCAACTACAAAGACCTCCTCCCTTCAGACGTTCTCGAAATCGCCTTCCAAAAAACCACTGGGAACGATGGATTCTGGGATTCCGAGGTCGGTGGTGGTGGTAAGGCGGCGGCAGATGGCGGCAGCAAGGCGGGAGGAGGAGGAGGAGGAGGAGGGGGGAAAAGGGGAAGAAAGGGAAGAAGGTTAGTCCAGCGGTTTTAGGTTTTAACGTGGTGAGTAACAGGATTATGATGGGGGAGATTGAGACAGTTGAAGACTAGATGAGATGAGATGGAGATTGAAAGAGTTTAAGGTTTGTTTACTTTTATTATGGTAATGTAGTTTGTAAATACTTTTGTCTGTGTCTGGAAGGAAAAACAGAGAGAGAACTGTCTGACTGGCTGTGTACATGATAATTTTGAAGATTAGGTTTTTTTTATTTCTTTAAATGTTGTTGGGTTATTATAGAGCTGAGCTTCTAACTGCTCCACCAATTTTGTGATATGTGACTTACTTGTTTTGACTTTAGAAGAAATATTATCCGTTGCTTTTCGCTTATATATTATTGTATATGTGTTCTTTTTTATTTCCAAATTCAACTACTTGTTCCCTATCTTTTAAAAGGTTGCATCAATGTCGCTGGAAGAAAAATAATGACCATTTGAAAGTATTTTTTTGCCTTGGAAAAGGTGCAACAATACTTCTTTTGACTTGTTATAAAGGAAATACAATACTTTTTATGCTGAAAAATATTTCTATTTAAAAGTTTATTCATCACTTAACCGACGATCTCCATAAGATACTTGTGATGTAGTCAAATTTTGGTGGAAGTAAAAAAAAGTTGAGAATTTCTGAAATTGTGACAATGGCCATCTAAGTAGCATTTGGTACATTGTATTGGACTTGGACAAATAACAAAAGAAACCCTTAAAACATCTCTTTTTTTTTTTTTTTTTCTTCAAACACACGTCCACCCCTCCCCATTTAATCTTGCCTGGTGAAACTCCAGTAACCCACGTCTATACCCAGATAAAGCTCTACATTTCTCAATTGTCCGTGACCATTCTCGATTTTTTTGTTTATTCGCTGAATATGTATTTCATGAGACTGTGTTTTGCTTCTTTGATGTAAATCATCGTAACAACATTTCTTTGTTGTCATTGAAAATCGGAACCAATGAGCTATGAGTTCTATTTGCTGAATATGTATTTAGTGTTAGTTCTTTCGATATATGGTGGGTGTGAAATTTGGGGTTGTATATATTAAATTGATTTTTGTAGAGAGAGATCTAGTGTTTGTGGTTCTCTTTAGTCAAAATTAATTAGATTTGTGAATAAAGTTATTTGCTAAAATAAACCAACAGTATTTTATTTCATATTTCAATCCGACTAACCCGAATATCCCAACCTCATTAGGGTCAAGTTTAGGGTTATTTATTTATTTATTTTTTGAAAAAACACCTACTAACTCAGCTCGTTTAACCTGAAATCCATTCGGGTTGACCCGGATAGCATACCTAGGTAAAACCATTGATGACTATCAATCGACTTGTAGAACCTTAAGAACATGAGGTGACTACAAGCTCAATTTTATTTGCTGTCAAATAGCTTGACAAAAAAGTTTGGAGGATAATCTTCTTGTTGGAAAATATTTTCTACTCCTGAATTTCAAATTTTCTTTCCTATCAACGACGTGGATGTTGATGTTAATTTGTGGTGTCAGCATGATAAAAATGGTGGTGATAACAGATGAGAGAGAAATAGACGGGTGAGATGGTCGACGAAGAGGCTTTATTTCAGTGAGCGGGGGTGGGATGTTAACAAGGAAGTTAAGGATAGAGACGATGAGATGAGTGATGGCAGAGATGGACGAGTTTAACCTGCAATTTGTTACTCATAAATGTCGAGGAAAAAAACATAAAACATTGGTAGACGAGTACATAGATGTGAAATAGTTGATGTGGAAAATCACTTCATCTACGGTCCATTTTAATAGTTTTATTGAAACATCTTGTAAGTTAACAATTTATTAATAAACTAACCATTATATAATGTCAACTTAAAGAAAATAGCCTTCATTTTCTTTTTGAAAAATGACTATATATATATATATATATATATATATATATATATATATAATATATATATATATATATATATATATAATAAAAGAATCCATTTTCTTATGTGGCAGCTCTTAAGCTCCTTAATTTACAAAGTAAAGTACCTATTTTGCCCTTCTATCACTTAAAACTCAAAATTAAAATTCAAACGCTCCTAAAATTATTTGTCGTAATTTGTGCACCGAGTATCTCTATATTTGTAAATCTACCAGATAAATGGATTGATTTGCATCACTCTATATTTGTTCGTTCCATTCGTCTTCTCTTTCTGCTATTTAAATTACAAACACCTCCATGAGGATTGCTTGAAACTAGGAAGCAAATCATCTACTTTATTCAGTTATCGACGTCCTCTTATTTATTCTTTGTAGTTGATTATCTTTCTAAGCCGTCGGCAAAAATTTAAGGGCATCAGAGGAATGAAGAAAAGATCTGATCAAACAACAATTTTGTTGTAGATGTTGGCAAGCAATGTCCTTTTGTCCCATAACAATTCGGTTTGATAGACATTCATCATCTTTCTCTTTGAAACGCATTGCAACTTCAACCATATCTTAATCAAGGTATAAGCTTATACCAATTTCATTCATTTAAAATCATTTAAATGTAATATTTATTTACGTGTTCAATGTTTATGATAAGCTTTGTTACTTTTCTTTGTATATATTGATTCAAAGTCAAATTCGAAGGCACCTGATGATGTTGTTCTTGATGATGTAGTTCTGATCAACTATAGTTGTATTCACCCACAGATAGCATTGGATCTTCTGGTAATGTTTACCAATAATGTTAAGGGTAAAATGCTTTCCGTAACATGTAAGTGTGTATTTCAGTATTTGGTATTTTCTGTGGGTTTTGATGCACGCCAAGTGTTTGATGAAATGTTTGGTTTATTAAACAGGGAAATAAGTCTGTTTAGTTTTTGGCATTTTTGTTATGTTACTTCAGTTTCTACTACCATATATGTATTCAAATTCTTTCAGGAACGGTTGTTAATGGGTGAGAGGTAATGATTTAGTTTCCCAAATACACACCTGATGCTGAAAGAATGTTACTTATCTATTCTTATGACATAAGTAGACATAAAAAGTTATGATTGTTCGTCTAATATTGTTGCTGCTATTTTGGTTTCCGTCATAAGGGGAGAATGCTTAAACTAGCAGAAAATTTGAAGGTTGGTCATGGAGCCGAATCTTATGGAAGCAAAAAAGTGATGATTACCAACAAAATTGCACGCTACCTGGAGCAAGAAAGTTTTATTTTATAACAGCAAAAATCTTATTTGCTACCGGTTGAAGAGCATTTTCACATTGCAGAAATGTCCCTTGCCAAGCAAGTTCTTTTTATAAAAGGGATTATGTTTATGAAATAAGATTTTCATTATATGTTTGGTGTTAATTGTTTCTAATAATCTGGAATTTCAAACAATATTGTTCATCCTTGCACTAAATTTAGTAGAAGTTTTAGAATAGTAGAAAAGGAAATGTATAAATACAGATAATAGGTGGTTATATTTAGATGGGGCTATATTGGTAAACTCTATTTTGTAATGTTTTATGGTACGTTTAGTTGGTGTTATGAAGAAAGAAATGTATAATTTCATTGACTAAATCATTATAACTTACAGAAAAAAAACTTTTATTTTTGTAAATTAGTAAAAATTTGCAAATCTTTGATTAGTTATTACTATTACTATTTGAAATTAAATTGTGTTTTTCGTTCTCACCCGTGGTTTCCACGGGTAGTAACCTAGTGTGTGTGTATATATATATATATATATATATATATATATATATATATATATATAGAGAGAGAGAGAGAGAGAGAGAGAGAGAGAGGTAATTTCAATTGAGAAAATAAAAAAAGTTAAGAATGGAAGAATCATTCTCACCCACTCATTTATTTTTATCGCAAAAACCTCCGTCGTACTAGCGGAAATGGGAAATGAATACATATGTGTTTTTCAACAAAACATGTTTCCTTAAACTTTGCTAATCATTACCTAAATATATACAAAAACATAGTTTTTTTTTTTTTTTCCGTTTTTTTAATTTTGAAGAAGCTATTTTTATCGAAAAATGATTTTAAATATACTAAAATTCATGATTTTTTATTCTCTACAAATTGACATCCATATTGATATAGTTTTAAGATAAAATAAAAAATTTATTTTTTTTATATTTTCAGCTATTGTTATTCATAAGTGAATAAAAATGTATCAGATTTTTAGTACAACACATTCGTTATTCACTTATAAATAAAAAATATGATTAATTTTTTTACAGATTAAGTATCATTTATATATAAATATAACATATAATAAACTCTTTACAACTTACATCAACTCTCGTCACATGTTATATTCACATATGAATAAAACGTGTATTGACTTTCCTCACAGGTTATATTTATATACGAAGAACACATTTATCATAATTTTGTTACAGTTCATTTGTTATTCCTATATGAATAAGTAGTTCAAATTTTCAACACTTCATCTTTTTTTAACATACTACTTATTTATATATGAATAACAAATGAACAGTAACAAAAATTTTAGAAATGTTTTATTAATATATGAATATAACATATAACGACAATTAATACACGTTTTATTCGTATATAAATATAACATGTGACAAAAGATGATGTAAAAAAAATATTTTAAGTAAGAAAACTTTATAACGTGTTATATTCATATATAAACAATACTTAAACTGTGAAAAAGTTAAGCATGCGTTTTATTCATAACTAAATAACGAATGTAATGTAATAAAATTCTGATGTGTTTTTATTCACTTATGAATAACGATAGCTGAAACTCTAAAAAAATAATTTTTTTATTTTATCTTAAAACTATATCAATATGGATGTCTATTTATTTATAAAGAATAAAAAATTATAAATTTTAATATATCTAAAATAAATTTTCGATAAAAATAGCATTCTAAAAATAAAAAAAAAAAATGTTTTTGTGTATATTAAGGTAATGATGAGCATACTTTAAGGAAACATGTTTGGTGTAACGATCCAAAAATCACGGGTAAAAATTTCATTTTGAATTTAGCTAAAACATTGATACCATTTATTTCAACATTTCAAATCATCGTTAAGTAAATTGCTTATCAGAGTTCATCCCAAAATCATTCATTGCGGAAATCATAGGCGTGTGCACTGCGATCAATCCGAGCCCTTCTTTTCCAAACGATGATACCTGAAACCAATAAACAAAACTGTAAGCACGAAGCTTAGTGAGTTCCCCAGAGCATACCACACACACAATCCACATATCACATATCCTGTTAGCTATAAAAGCTACCTATATCACATATCATGCTAGCTACAGAAGCTACATATAGCACATAAACCATGCATAAATA